AGGAGCCAGTTAGGGCTGTGCCCGGGCCACAGGTGCAGTCAGGCATGGGATGCAACGGGAACGGAGACGCCCAGCAGCAGGCAGGGTGACGGGCCGCCAGAGGAAGCCTCGCCACGGCTGTGCTGGCACAGCGCTCAGGGCCAGCCGGCCTGCCATCAGTTAGAGGACCAGGTGAGGCAGTTCTTCTAACTTCATACCAGAGGGGCCTCCTCCTTTCTTGACTCTGGGAGATGCCGAGGCCTCTCTCAGCCCCCACCAATGCCAGATCTGACTTCACAGCTGGTGTTTCCGGATGAATAACACCCTGAGCCAAGCAGAGCGTGGCTGCTGAGGGCGGGGCGGGGCTGGGGACTCATGCATGAAGCCAACCGCCTCCACACTGAGGCACGTACGTTCCAGAGGCATCTTAGATTCACTGGGTCTGAGTTCCTCGGCCACGGATCAACAGGCCTGGATGGATCTGGGGGAAGGGGCACACGTGTCTGCTGCCTCCTGGGTACCTGTCTTCATGCCACAGCCCTTTTCCATCCCTTGTCCCTTGAGACCTCTGAGCTCTGCACTCCAGGGAAGCTGCACGCCTCAATTTTATCTGCCTACTAAGGCTTGTGGGGACCAGGCTTGTGGCACGGCAAGTTCAGCAGCAGCAGCTGCTCATGACACCTGCAGCCCCCAGGAGAGCTGGTCCAAATCCCAGTGGCTCTGCTTCTGAACCCGCTCCCTGTCACTGCGCCTGGACACACAGCGGAGGACGGCCCAAGAACTTAGGTCTCCATCAGCACCGGAGGAGAGCTGGGCGGAGTGCCAGGCTTTGGACTACACTAGACCTAGCCAGGGCCTCCACCCCTTCTGTCATTCTTTCAGACAAGTCTTTTTTATTTTTAAGTAAGTAAATCAAAAGGCTTATGCACCACTACCATCCAGAGGAACTCCTCAAGTTACTGAGGTCATGTCTGCCCTTGGACCTATAAGGCCACCTCACCCATCCCTCCTGTAATAAGGGATAGTCCCCGCCTATGCGACCTCATGAGAAACATGGACGGTACCCAGCATGCAACGGTCATTGAAAAGACTCCTCCCAGACCCAGAACAATGGCTCAATGGCTAAAGCCTTGCCTTGTAAGCGCTGGGACCCCATACGGGTGCCGGTTCTAATCCCGGCAGCTCCACTTCCCATCCAGCTCCCTGCCTGTGGCCTGGGAAAGCAGTCGAGGACAGCCCAAAGCCTTGGGGCCCTGAACCCGCGTGGGAGACCCAGAAGAAGCTCCTGGCTTCGGATTGGCTCAGCTCCAGCCATTACAGCCATTTGGGTGTGAACGAGTGATGTAAAACCTTTCTGTCTCTCCTTCTCTCTCTAAATCTGCCTTTCCAACAAAAATAAGCAAACTTAAGTAAAAATAAATAAATAAATAAATAAAGGTCTCCCTCCTCTCTCTGTGGGTTGAGAGGGCATGGAAGATCCAAGGGGGAGCTCCTAGAAAATGTCCCGCCCAGCTCCAGGGTGGCAGTCAGCTGAACACAGGTGCGCACGCCAATGACATGTTGGGGCTTCTACCTAACATTCTTACAGAAAAAAACCGCATGCATTATGAGCTAGTACCCCAACTTAGGACAGTTCGACTGAAACTACTTTCACTTTACCAGGGGAAAGTGGACCCATGCAGCCACTCTGCCCCTCACGCAGGGACGGCAAGCTTCACAGCCCTCATTACAGAGCAGACTTCCCGGGAGACGCCTGTGCCCAACTGCCCCCCAGGCTGCGCTATAGTGTGTGTTTCATTTGGTACACTTGATGCTTTAAAATCTTTCTTTAGGGCCTGCTGCAATAGCCTAGTGGCTAAAGTCGTTGTCTTGCATGCACCTAGGATCCCATCATGGGTACCGTTTCGTGTCCTGGTGGCCCCGCTTCCCTTCCAGCTCCCTGCTCGTGCCCTGGGAAAGCAGTTGAGGAAGGGTGCAGTTGGGACTCTGCACCCACGAGGGAGCCCCGTAAGAGGCTCCTAGCTCCTGGCTTCAGATCGGCTCAGTTCCGGCCGTTGCAGCTACTTGGTGAGTGAACCAGCGGCTGGAAGATCTTCCTCTCTGTATAGCTGACTTTCCAATAAAAACAAATAAATCTTTGAAATAAAATAGTATTTTCATTTGAAAGCAGACACAAGAGTGGGTTCCCATGCACCCACTGGCTTAACTCTCCCGGTGCCTGTGTCAGCTGTGGCTGCCTCGGGCAGCGGGCAGTCAGGAACTTAACCCAGGCTTTCTACGTGGACGGCAGGACCCTAATCCTTTGAGTCATCTCTGCTGCTCTCAAGCGCCTGCATTCCCAGGAGGTTAGAGCTGAGCACCAAACCCAGCTCCTGCCTGTGGGACACTGCGGGACACAGGGACCCAGCTCCTGCCTGTGGGACACGGGGACCCAGCTTCTCCATGTGGGACATGGGGGCCCAGCCCCTGGCTGTGGGACACTGTGGGACCCAGGGACCCAGGTCAAATGCCTGCCCCAGATGTATTTTTGACTCTGAGTATTTGCACTCAGATGTGAGTTTATCAAGAAGAAATCATAGCAAGGGGGCATCTATATGACAAACACAGGGAGATTCAGCAAGTTGGACAACACACACACACACACACACACACACACACACACACTGCTCTTGGCCCAAGCTGCACGGCTCCAAGGGGGTTTGTGGTCGTGCCCAGGAGCCTCTTCCCCGCTGTCGTGAGCAGGCAGCCCTGGGTGACACGTCTCGTCTCTGCAGCCACCTTCCGCCCCCCGGCCACCACCAAGGGCACCCACACACGTCCACCAGGTCAGAAGGTCCGTTCCTCCAATGGGTTGACCCCCACTTCCTGTGGGCTGCAGGCTTCCCTTTCAAACTCTCACCTTCTCCCCGCAAAAAGCCTCAAGCCGAGAATACCCGTGTGCTCCACGCTCTCGTTTTCTTAGCTGCTGGCTTTTCGGCCCACTGACCCAGCAACTGAAAAGCCAGCCAAGAATCCACTCGGCGAGGCGACAGCACCCCCAGAAACGGCAGCTTGGCAGCTCACTTCAACCATCTTGTTTGTGTTTTCATGTGAAACTTCCCCTTTCTGACTAAGAGAGGCGGAGGAAGGAGATGCGAGGGGGAAGGGCCCTGGGCACCGGCTAGGTGCCCTTGCACTGCCTCCTAGCCCGTCCCCTGGGCTCCCTTAGCGGCGGAGGCTGGGACAAGGAAGAGCGTGGTCCTGCTCGCCGTGAGTCCTAACAGGCAGGCATGTGATGATGGAGAGACCACGCTGGAGACACGGGGCAGTGGGACGCCTGGGTCCCCATGCTGGCAGTACAGCCTGTGGCATGGAAGTCGGGCGGGGGACCCCAAGCTGGCAGTACAGCCTGTGGCATGGAAGTGGGGGGGACCCCAAGCTGGCGGCACAGCCTGGGGTGTGGAGTCTGATGCCCTCGGTTGTGACTCTGGGCTAGCGCCTCTCCTTGCTGGATACCAGCCTGGTCTCTGATTAGTGCCAACTAACTGTTGCCTTCTCTCTGGTGGCACACAGCAAGCTCCCCGCTTATCACTCACCACCCCCTTTACCCCCCTGCAGCCTCACTTAGCTGCTCCTCTGTGGCTTGCAGATGTAGCAGCTGAGCAGCCGTCGGAGAGGCGCTGGGGAGGGCACTGCTGCCCAAGCTGCCCTCCGCAATGCCCACCTGGTGACCGGGGAGCAGTGCCTCAGCAGCCGCAGCTCTCCAGGGCGAGTCTTCTTGTAGACCAACCGTGCTGCCTGGCACATGCGTGCCACCCCCAAAAACTTCTCATTCTCTTCAATGGTGTTGAGCTTTGAACGCTGACATAGCTTCCCGCTCACCCCTGCACCCCGCACTCCAGACAGGACACTGGAATGCCACTCCCGTGAAGGCACCGATACCACATGTCACGCCAGTGCTCTGCCCACGGACAATTCCCAAGCCGCTGTCCTGGGGCTCCGAGGCCACCGTCTCTTCCCCCGGTGGTTGTTTGCTATCTTCCGGAGGACTCTAGGCTCCGGGTTCGGGGTCTGCTCAGCTGAGGCGCAGCCCTGGGCCCAGGAGACGTGTCGGCATCTCCATCTCCGCGAGTGGGCACGTGCCCTGCCTGGGTGGAGATGGAATGTGGAAAAACAGCTCTCGGGGCTTCCCCCAGCTCCCTTGCTGGGAGGCCAGCTGAGGACAGAAGGAGCAGCGCAGCAGTCACACAGCTGCCAGGAAAGCTCAAAGCTGGTCCCCACCCTGGGCCTCCCTGGCCCTGCCACCTGAAGGCCACCGCCATTCCAGGAGGCCTCCTTTATGTTGTTCAAGCCACTTCCTCACTGCCACCACTACCGTGCCCTCAGGAACCCCGTGACCCCTGCGCCAGATGCACAGGCTCCTTGAAGAAATGTTAACAGCTGGACCACCAGGCGGTGAGGGTCTCCCAGGAACGTCTGGGGGCATTCAGTCACTCAGCACACTCAACAAACTGATTTCTGAGAGCTGCCATCTGAACATCATTTCAAACCGCAGCAAGCCGTTGGCGGGGCCGCCGCATCCCCTTGGTACGTCCTCACTTGAGCCACCTGCCACGGATGTGGGAGGCCCGGACCGGCCCCAACCATCAGTCTTCCCAACTCTGGAGTTAGCCCAGGGGCCTCACCCCACCCTAGCCCCAGCCTGCCCACGCGGGGCCAAACGCTGCTGCCTCGGCGCTGGCCACGTGTCGAAGAGAGAGTGCCGCTTCCTGCCCCCCAAGGGGCGCGCCGCTTCGGTTAGTTTAGGGCCCACTGCACCGGGGCTGCCCTTTGGGCAGTGTCCCGGCCACCCCCGAGGCAGACCCGGAGGGCGAGGCGGCCTCGGGCGGAGGCGCCACGGGTGGCACCGTGCGGCCCAGCTTCCCGCCGCTCCCCCAGGGTTCCCCTCGGCGCAGGCGAGCTGGCTCCGGCCCCCGGGGGAGAGCTGGACTCCCACGGAAGTGCCCGAGTGGAGAGCGCGGGCAGCAGGAGAGGGTACTCACCGGGCAGCCGCCGCCGCGCGCCGGGCGCGAAGTCCCCGTCCGTGAGTTTGCAGCGCGCGAACGCAGCTCCGGCGCCCTCGGCTTCCTTTCTGGAGTGCGCGCACGCCCCGGGTGCCCCGACGGCTCGCCCCGCCCCGGTCCGCCCCACCACGCCTCGCCCGGGCCGGGAGGGACTGGAGAGGGACAGCTGGACGGTGCTGCAGACTGGCCTCTAGGGGAGCAGGGACCGGGCCTCTCACTACCTCGAAGCGGTGCTCGGACGCAGCCTCTCACCAGTCCCCTGCGCCCCGCTTGGCGCCTGCACCCCAGAGGAGGAACACACGTGACCCCAGCCAAAGAGAAACAGAAACGGGAAAGCGAGTTTCTGGAAAGCAGGAGGAAGCAAATAGTGCTGAGAGACTTAGTATAATCGAACGTAGGGATGGAAACGAATTTTTTTTTTTAAGGACTGGAAGAAAGACACGTGGCTGTGTTCAAATAATAAATCATAGCATTTTTGGTACTTCCTGATTTTTAAGTGACTGCGACACTGATTTTACAATCAAGAAAAATGTGCAATAAAAATTACATAAAGCAGGAATGGCTTTGTGGCAAGGAAAGACCCCAGCACAATACTGGGTGGATTCCCAGCTGCTCCACTATTGATCCAGCTGCCTGATAATGGCCTGGAAAAAGCAGCAGAAGGGGGGTTTGGGCCCCCCTCCGTGCCACCCAGCACTGGCTGTGGCAGGTGTCTAATGAATAAGACATCAGATGGAGGATCATTCTCTCGCCCTTTCAAATAAATAAATACATTTGAAAAAGAAAAAGTGGACACTTAACACACCGTACCATGATGCTGGTTCCAAACCACTGTATTTATTATTTATTTTTTTTTTTTAGAATTTATTTATTTTTATTGGAAAGTCAGATACACAGAGAGGCGGAGAGACAGAGAGGAAAATCTTTCACCTGCTGATTCGCTCCTCAAGCGACCGCAACTGCCAGAGCTGCGCCAGTCTGAAGCCAGGAGCCTGGAGCCTCTTCCGGGTCTCCCATGCAAGTGCAGGGTGTCAAGGTTTTGGGCCGTCTTCGACTGCTTTCCCAGGCCACGAGCAGGGAGCTGGAAGGGAAGTGGGGCTGCAGGGATTAGAACCGGCATACATATGGGATCCCCAGTGCGTGTATGGTGAGGACTTTAGTTGCCAGGCTACTGTGCGGGTCTGAAACCTTTTGATTTTCATGTGCAGTTGAAATAGGCTCTGAAGGAGATGGCCAAAGGGAGGATCTATGAGTTTTGAACAGAAATAGGCTCTTCCCACTACACACTTGCTCCCTTGATGCCAAGTGTGAACAGGACGGTACTTAGACATCTGAGATAATAGAACAAAGGATTGCACCTGTGGTCCACTCTGGAATCCGGGGGCAGGGGCTGGGGTAGGCTGCAGGGGACACGCCTTGTGCCACAGCCACTCAGACTCCCTTCATTTTGCCCTAGGAAGCCGGATGCCCTCTCTGGGCACTCACACCTAGCACCGTATGTCCTAGGACTGTAACTTTATTTCTGGTCTCTCATCGGGGCGGGCCAACAAGGTGAAATCATGCTCTCAGAGCTGTCCGCAGACTGCCACCATGCACTCTTCCTAGGACAACTTAGTTCCTTATTCTTCTTTTTCATGCTTCTTGACTTTTTTTGAAAGTCAGAAAGAGATCTTTCCCAGTGGTTCGTTCCCCCCAATGACCGCTACAGCTGGGCCAGCCCAAAGCCACGAGCCCGGAATCTCATATGGATGTGCTGTGGGACTGACTTGCGCCCAGGCACTTGCGCCATTTTTCATCGCTTTCCCATTAGCAGGGAACTGGACTGGAAGTAGAGCTGCTGGGACTCTAAGTTGTACTTAAATGCCAGACTCATAGTGGCTGAAGCCAGTGTACCATCACACTGGAGCCAAGGAAGGTGATTTCTCACGTGTTATCAGCAAACGTTCCCATCTCAATAACACTCAACTCCAGCCACTTTTTTGTTTGTTTGTTTTTTGCTTTATTGTGCTAATATCTACCGATCTCGGGTGGCGTGTGGCACAGAGGGTTAAGCCAAGGCTACAGTGCGGACATCCCATGTCAGAACCATGGTTTTAGTCACACTGACGAGTGACTCAAGCCCGGAGCTTAGGAAGACCCCCACTATTTCAGACCTGATGCTGTTTTACCTCCCCTGAGTCCTGACATATTCAGGCTTGCTCGCCTGTACCTCTCCAAAATTTGCTCCCTGCCAATCTGCCGTGGCCACGGCTTTGTATCGAGCAATGCCCTGTCACCTCTACCTGTGACCTTATGCTCGATAACCCTGTCCACCAGTCCCCTGGGGCCACTACACCCACAAATCCCTGCGGCCCCTTCCCTGGAGGCCCACCCTCCATCCCCTTCCCCCATAAACTCCCTTGGCCCCCTGGCTCTCACTGCCTCTGCACCCTCCCACGGGGCTGCTTCCCACTGCGCCAAATAGGGACCTCCTCGCTGTCACTGACATCTTGGGTTTGTGGCAACAAACTAAAAGAGCTAACACTACTGAAAAGAGCTGTACCAAAGCAAGCTAACACACAGCTACTCCACTCGTGCTCCACGGCCCTGCTCATGGGCCTGGGAAGACTACGGAGGCTGGCCCAAGTTTTGGGTTCTTGGCTTGGGCCTGACCCAGCCCTGGCTCTCGCAACCATTTGAAGAGTGCACCATGCATGGAAGATCTTTTTCCTCTGTCCCTCCAAGTTGCTCTGCTTTTCAAATAAATGAAATCTCCATCCAGATTTCCCACATGGGTGACAGGGACCCCAACACACGGGCGTCCCACCCCCACCATGCCTTCCCAGTTGCATTAGTAGGGAGCTGGGTCAGAAACAGAGCAGTGAGAACTCTATTCAGAGAGAAACAGAGCTGTCCCATCTACTGTTCCCTCTGCGGCTTGCAGTAGAAGGTACTTGGCTGGGCCAGGCCAGAACCGGGAGGTGGGAACTTGGTCTAGGTCTCCCCTTACAGTTAGCACAGACTGAGTTAGTAGACGCCAGTACTGCCTCCGGGGCTTCGTGTTAGTAAGGGAGCTGGAGTCAGGACCAGAGGTGGTCATTGAGCTCAGCCCTCGGGCGTCTAAACAAGCGTCTGGAAGCACTAAGCCGTACACCTGCTCTTCTCTCCGCAGTTCAAGTGTTTTGGTATGAATAATTATGCTATTCTCAGACAAAGAGATGGAGACAAGAGACCTTACAGCTGAGATTGGGCCAGTCGGAAGCCAGGAACTGAAGACTGAATCTGGGTCACCCATGTGGTTGGCAGGGACCCACGCACCTGAGCCACCTGCTGCTTGTCAGGGGCTGCGTTAGCAGGAAGCGTGGAAGGGAGAGGAGCTGGGACTCAGAGTCACACACTCTGAGAGGGCATGCGGCCGTTCCAAGCGGAGTCCTGCCTGCTGCCCCCAGCGCTCACATCTGCAGGTACTTGCAATACCATCTTTCTTATGTGCTACTAGCCCCTGGAACCCCTACTTTTAGAAAGAATTTCTCCTTGGACATGCTTAGGAAACGTTCGGCGATCAGGCTCCCACTTTCTCTGCTCTACCCCAGACACCAACTTAGCTTTATCTGAACAACCTCCTAAACCATCTGCAGCCCCTACAATAGAAGTCACGTGTTCCTTCTGAGCTGGTCCGGAGCACCACCCCACCCACAGTAGCTGCTAGGGAAGTCCTGCCGTCAACACGTTGGTATGGATCGCTGTTATGGCCCCTTGATTATAATGCCTGGGAGTGGAGCTGCTGGGTCCTGTGGTGGGGATATTGAATTTGCATCCCCACCACCACTGTGTGAGCTCCTCGGCTTCTCCCAGCTTCCCGTGAGAAGCCGTCCCTACCTCAGCACAGCCATGCCCCCAGCCTGTCCCTGCTGTGCTGTTTTTGTAGACGCCTCCTGCAGGTTGCCTCACCTTGCCGGGATGCCCTGTCTCTTCCTAGGAAAGCTCAGTTGACGTCACTCCACGCTTTGAATCCCTCCACGAAGGGAGGGATACGGTGTGATACGGTGGAATCTGCTTGGTGTTTATTCGCCTTCCCAGAAGGACAATTCCTAAGTCTTTGGAATCTTCAAAGCGTTAATGTCCTGCTGAGTCGGCAGAGGGCTGGCAGCCACCCCCTCCCCCACAGCTTTGGGATGGGGCTGGTCCCCAAAAGGTGAAAATCATGGAGATGGAGCCCGACCCTGTCCCTAGCTTGCAGGGAAGGAAGAAAGACGAAAAGTTGAGTAGGTCAGGGCCCGGCGTGATGGCGCAGTGGTTGAGGTCCTCGCCTTGCAGGCTTGGGATCCCATATGGGCGCCGGTTGTAATCCCGGCAGCCCTGCTTCCCATCCAGCTCCCTGCCTGTGGCCTGGGAAAGCAGTCGAGGATGGCCCAAAGGTTTGGGACCCTGCACCTGCGTGGGAGACCTGGAAGAGGCTCCTGGCTTCGGATTGGCTCAGCTCCAGCCATTGCGGCCGCCTGGGGAGTGAGTGAATCATCTGAGGGAAGATCTTCCTCTCTGTCTCTCCTGTCTGTATATCCGCCTTTCCAATAAAAATAAAAATAAATCTTAAAAAGAAAGTTGAGTAGGTCACCAATGGTCAGTGTTTCAATCAGACTCCACAAAAACAGAAGGTCTTGGCTAGGGAGTGGGTTGCCCAGTGAGAGCAGCCCTGTTCCCATACCCCGTGCCCTTCCCCGTCGGCTGTAATTTATTGCTAACCTCCACGACAGGCGGACAGTTACCTCCCCAAGTTCTGTGAACTGCTCCAGCAAATGAACCTGCTCCATGGAGGGGGTTTTGGGGACTCCGAGTTGCAGCTGCTTAGTAACACACACAAATGAAACTCCCTGTGGTCTGAGACTGGTGGCTGGCTGGCAAGGGGTACGTTCTGGGCTATGAGCTCTCAACCTGGGGGACCCGAGGCATCAGTGGAGGTATGGCTGTGGTCTGGGACTGTAGCATTGCTCACTCGGTGCGTGGGTGGGGGGAAAACGCACACACCTGCCAGCAGTGACCTGTGCTGGGGGAGTGCAGCAGGAGGAGTTGAGTCAGAGTTCTTTTTTTTTTTTTCCTACGTGCTCAGCGCCCTGTTCCTCCGCTTCAATTCCCGTGCCCCCCCCCCCATGCCTCTGCACACAGCACAACC